GTGTGGAATGCCGAGTGGTCGTTTGCTCATCGATGGGTTCGCATTTCACTTCATTGATATGCATGTGTGTCAGGGTGGTTTTTGGGACATTTAGTGAAGAAAAAAAGGAATGTTTAATCATGGAATCGGGTAATCGCGTAGGTGTGTGTGTGTGCGGTTGATGGGAGGAGTGTGTCTTCCTAAATGCGATGTCTAATGACGTTGAGTTTGTCGTAGCACAACGTTGCAAGTGGTGGTGGAGAACTGCTATGGGAGCGTACTGAGTCGTTAGTTGTTTGCGGTGGCAAAAAATTGTGATTGGGATGTGCAATGGAGCGAGCGCAGTTGCAGATACATTAAGGAAGTTGTTTTTCTTCATCGTCTCTTCGCATTTCTTACTGCAGGCATTGTGGAGTCGAACTGTCATCAGCGTTCGGTGACAACTCTGCTCGGTGTGCGCGGAGGTAGTCGTGACGACAGTGGATGCCAACTTCGCCTTGATTATTGGAATGGATTGTCAGGCTAGTCGGTCTATTCTTCACAGTATGTAGGTTCACCTCGAGTGTCAAGGCGGCGGTGTTTTTCGTCTGCAACGAATGAGTTGGTGTAGTCCAACTAGCCGGTCACTTCGACAGGCACAAGTAAACTGAGACTGGCCAAGATGGCGGTGTGACGAGTCTCCTTCCTTTTCTTGACAACTTATGCCTTTGAGGTATTGTAGCATTGAGCAACATTAGTCCATACCTGTGTACCCACCCCATTTGTCTTGCCACGTGTCGATCGAAGTGAATGTATATTCAGGATGGATGAGCATGAATCATGCCCTTGCACCACCTTCAGGTTATGTCATGGCAAAGGACACTTTGAGGTCATGTGATATTGGCTTGGCTTGCATGAGTGAGTGACCGTGGGGCTACCAATCTCAGTTGAGGTGGGAGTGTACTTGTCATTCCATTGGTGTGTTTGACTGTATCAGATGCAATTGAAGTTTGGTAAAGAATGAGTGTACTGGCGAGTAGTGACGCATGGAACTTTGCTTACAGATTATAGAGGTGTGGTTTGTTTCCTCTGAAATGGCAGTGATAGTGGACTCTTTTGTGCTAAGATAACATACGTGCTCTCGTCGATGGTAGGAGAAGTAGAGTGAGGCAGCCATTGCCACATCAGGATTGAGTTGTGGTCAGGCGTGTTTGTCTCTTTATTCGCATTTCCACAGCGAGGAAGACATTTCCGCAGACACTTCGGTTGACATGGTGGTATGGCACTGAAGCGCTCGGTTGGTTAGGGTAATTTTGGCGTGGACAGGGCGGATTGGTGCACTTTTAGGTATGCAATGGTCAGCAGGAGTCAGAGGTGCGGTATAATTCTCAAAGGTGAGATGTCGTGGATTTGCTAGCTATTGGTGGAGTGCACAATTTTCCGACGCGTTTTGTTGATCACAATTGCCACAAATGCAAGTGGACGTGTGCACAGCAAACTGATGGAGTCCTTTTGAAAGGGTTGAACAATGGGGTTCTTACTGCTCTTTGGCCCGACCAAAGAAGTGTTTTGGGTGGAATTATAAAGTTGCGAAATGTGGGTTATGTTGAAGGGTGGTAGCAATTGTCTCGATTCCATGGTGCTGAGCTTCGCTTTCGTTAGGAGCTGGCAATCGGTGGTTGAGTTTGTAGACGGTAGGGCGGGGTAAATTTGCAACTGCAACTTGTGTTGTAAATGTGGTGAACTCATATCCTCATTTGGAACTAGCAAGAATTTGTTGAGAAAGGATGTGCTTTTGGAATGCAGTGATGGTAAGTTATGCGAGGGGATGTTGAGATTGCGGGACGCTGGAGGTAGAGTGCAGTGCATCTGTTTTTTAGGCAGCGGAATGCACAACGCAACTGCTAACCTCGGCGGCATTGACTCCAACCATGGTAGGTTTGATATGGGAGGTGGAGTTGGAGTTGTCGAACGTCTCGAGAGAGTGATGCATGGCAATGATGAGGCATGTCATCGAGTCAGCTTTTTGGCGCCTGCTTCGGTTGGTTGATGGGCATGAGTGTGTGGACATTTTGAAAGTACGATTGATGTCGTGCATTGAAGCATTTGAGTGCCTCTGATCCCATGCCTACAACGGCATCTTTCCTCCTTGCTAATCGTAAACCGGTCAATAGCAACATGGCAAATTAGACATGTCGACATGTTATAACTTCCCAACTGCAGAAGAACGGACACACCTCGAAACAGATGATGTACATAGAAGCATTGTATTTCTTGAGGTGTAACCCAAAGGGATCGTGATTTTGTTGATGATTAATTGTCCAGTTTCTTCAAAATTTGCGTTCTTTTGTTTGTGCTGAAGTGCACCCTCCACATCCACAACCATTGGCTTAAATAGCGTTCAGAGAATCTCCAGACGAGGAATCAGGGTGGGACATTGTGCTCAAGAATCCGCGTTTGGAGTTGTGCGCACTGAGTGACCTTAACGTCCATTGTCGAGGGGTGGCCAAATTCGGACCGAAAGGCTGTTTTGATGGGGTGCGTGAACGATTTGCCTGCACCACAGTAATATCCACCATCTCCATTCTTGCCCTATCCGCCTTCCAATTCTCAACGCGCCTACTAGTCACCGCTTGTGAGGGAAAATCTTGCTTAGAGGAATTCCACCGAAGGCGTTCTGAACTCAGAGTAGTGTCTACCATTAGTTTCGTCCAGAAGGCCTTATAAGGCACAGGCGAGTAGACGTGAGTGACTGAGTCACGTAACCCGATTGTTCTCATTTTCAGCCTTAGCTTCCCTTCATGCAGATGGTGTGCTGTCTGCTGAGGAGCAGACAATGGTAAACAAGGTATGACATTCATTACGCTTTTCGGAGTGTAGATGAATGTGAGATATTTCGGGTGGGCACAAGTTGATGTGGGGTTGAAAATATTGTAGGCGAGTGTGGACGAATGGATGGGTGGAAGAGAGGAGGCGAAGCGTTGATTTGGTCTCAGTACTGTAGAAGTTGGAAGGTGATTGGAGTTACCGATGGTTTGGGTGCATCCGTGGTTGTAGTCCCTTCCTCGCACATTAGCGCCTCATATAGTCATGAAGCTTCCATAATGCCATGCGGCGGGTTGGCGAATAGTAGTGTGTGCATTTAAGGCAATGGTGAATGTGAGGAGAAAGAGGTGCGTCGCTATGTGATTGATTCGTTTGGTTAGCGTTAGGAAATTACTGTGTTAAATAACTGTCACGCTTTTCGCACTTCTTCGACACGTTTCGCCACGCAAATGCGTTAAACACTAACTGAGGTGTGCATTGCATGATTTCACAGCTATTTCGATTTTTACCTCCCTTCTCACCTTCACCCTCATCTTCTACCTGTGCCAAATGGGGGCTGGGGGAGATCAGCATGCTCATTCTCACACATTTTGTGTCGATAACCACTTGTCGCAGCATTGCTTGACCTTACTCAAGCCCTATAATCTCTTCTTTTCCGTTTTAACATCCACAACTTCCGCCTCAAATCCGCAACACAGGAAATCCCTCCACCTCTCGTCATCAATGCCATTTCCAACACCTAAGCAGTATTGCTTGCTTCATTGCACCACAGTCTCTTAGCTTCATCCAACGCCATCACTGCATCACCCACTTTAGATCAGCCCCTTCCCTTCCTTTTCTTCCTCACCACTTTTGGGAGTGCAAAGTGGATGACGAGGACTTGCACATTTTCCATTTCAGCTCTACCTCCTTTGGATTCACACATCAATGCTAACGCAAACCACCATCTCTTCTCTACCCCACCACATCTGCAAGATGAGTGGAACATTCGTTTGCGCTCACTCATGCACTCCACCATTTCTTCGCTCATTCTTTCATCCTAACATTCATTCGTTCTTTCGTTCTTTTATTTATATACCCCTACGGCGTCTCAGTGGCAGCAGCAACAGCAGCAGATGCGGTAACAGTTGCATTAGTAATTGCCCATCCCACCTACATACCTCGTACCCCAACCTCACGGTGACCGCTTACACCTTACTTTCAAATGATGACACACTCGATGCAACAAATCCATTATCGACGACTCAGTAAACAATCAAATAATCCCGTTGCCTTTAAGACCTGCGGTAGGGGCTTTGTGGTGAATTGAGCACAAGCTTACGTGTTGAGTGCGCATGTTCAGGCCTGGTACTATTTCGCTGATCTCACAAAGTGCTTATGGGAGCGCGTCATTAGCGTGTACGCCGAGGCTGCATCTGCTCTCACGCCATAACAAAGCACACACGGCCTAACCAACTCTGACTCACAAACCCACCACCTCGGGTCAAGGTGCAATATCAGCAACGTGGATGCCGGTTTTACCTTCACGTGGCAATTCGTATAACAGGTTCTCTATCAGACGTCGCAGTTTTTCAATGCACATTTCAGTTCCCACCTCTCACATAATTGCCTCCTCTGTGCAACGTTGACCATCTCTCTCCACTCATCAGAGAAGCCCTCAATAGTCACGACGAGGATGTGAAGCGAGGTGAGCATACCGAAGAATTAAGCGACCAAAGGAGGAATACAAATGCAAGGGTGAAATACGTTCATGCCTTAATTTTTGCAGGAAGTAAAATAGGGCTTGGATACACTTTCCCATTCCTCCTTTCGCACTATCAACTAGCTCATGTTCTTCTTTGGTACACACCGTAAATTGAGCGGTCTGTTTCTGGATGTTCTGACCAGTTGCAAGCAGAATGTTGCCCATAAACGTGATTGGCAAATCACTCACACTTTCATATGAGCACGAGATGGCTGCCAAAATTATTAGACCGATCTTGACATGAACCTCCAGGTCCCACTTATGCTGATTTATGACGTAAAATTTCTTCTGTTGCTCCCACCTCTATTTGCTACCAACTCTATTGCCTACTACAGCCGCTAATGACACTTTGAGTGCAACTTGTGATCCCTCCCCCTTCCTCCCCACATATCGTCAAGTTCAAATGCGAACAAAGACATAGCAATTAACATTTAAAGAAAATAAGTGACTGTGGAGAACAATAAGAGTGAAATTAGTTGTTCTCTCTCTTTGTCTCTGGATCCATATTACCTTGTCCATTCTTTATGCTTTTGCTGATCATGTCGTAACAGGTCCAGTCAACATATTCATCCCACTTGTCAAAATCCTCTCCAGCACAACGCCTTGTGCACCATATTCGCCACTCTACTGGCAGCACAGTGAAGAAAGACGAGAATATCTGTAGACGATCCCACAGGCTGAAAACATTCTCCTCCTCATTCATTACAAATATGATGCTCACCATATCGTTTGGCGAGTGTGCTTTGAGTTCAGTAATGACATCTAATATTTGCCCCGATATTGACGTTATTACGTATGCTGTGCATTGCAAGCAGTACTGTTGCCGATTAATGGCATATGTTATGACTACGGAAGTATTATAAAAGCCAATTCTAAGCAACTTACATTGCTGCTTTCCACTGTCGCTGGGAATGTAAAAACGTCCAGAGAAAGAGAACTTTTTAGTCCATGTAATGCATAAAGGTTGGTGATAATAGTCGCCCACGCGGTTGGAAGCATAGTTGGAGGATAAGAATGAAAACCCAGTGTAGCGAAGATTTTCATGTGATTGATACTGCTTCTGCTGAGCCATCGCGTCGCAGAATAGTTGGAAGCATTTTACTAGCGCATTGCGATAGATAATCGCTTCACAAGTACTTTCTACGCAGGTGTTGAAAGAATGTGGCAAGAGTAGCTGAAAAAGACGCTTGTCGAACCACGTCCACTGCATCATATGCTGTTTCATGACATGAGCAAAACGGCGCCTTGTGAGAAACGCCTTCCATTTTGGAACGGCGGTGCACAGGTTGATCAAATCCACAGCATCGAGATAGTCGCAAATCTGTAGTGCCACTATGGTTGGTAGGTCAGTGAGTGTGCGTTGTGAAGTGGTCTGTGGGCAAACAAGAAAAAGTTGTGCCATTAGTCAATGGGGTCGGTAAAAGGGAGAAAGTGAGGTGCAATTCGATGTACATAAAAATTAGTAGAAGGAAGTGAGATACATACCATCTTCGATGTATTAGTTGTGAGACTGATGGTGGAGCTTTGGTGTCACGCTTTAAATGCAGCGTGTCCCAGGAGAAGGGGTCATTGGGTTGACCTCACCGTCATGACGGCTCAACATTGGCTCCGCCATCCTGTGGTTAACTCTCGGTGCGGTCCTGCCCACCCCCTTGATTCGGGGACACAGGTGACACGACAGCATGCATGCTAATGTCATCACAGCTGTGTCAACGCTGTCGCTAAGACACAGCTCACAACCATTGGTGGTAGAGCTGTTGTGCAAGCGTCGAAGTAACCCCAAACGTTACTTTTGCTTTCCAGTCCGTATCACAACTAGAGAAGCTCGTCATTGACAAAACTCTATGCGAATTGGCCACTCCCTTCATCCTCCCCCTTCCTTCAAGATGGGTTTGCTTGCACTAAGCAAGACTTGGAGCAGAAGAGAGTTGAATTGGGGGCGATTGCAAAGGTAAATTCAGTCCATCTTCGTTGAAATAGGAATGCATTGATGCAACTTGTGCATTGACAAACGATTGCATTCCTGCTTAAAGTAGTCATGGTGAGCAAAACGTCTCCCATCTTGTAGCCGATAAGTTGAAAGTCCACTCGTTTTATGAAGAGGCTGATCTCCGTCTCCTCCATGCACGTGCGTGTGCGCTGCTTGTCCCACCACCAAATTGGCGGAACATACGAATGGGAATGAATACGTGAAGATTGACTTTTTCAAGTCCCCTTCAACATTGATAAATGATGGTTGAGGTGGAAAGAGGCATTGAAATGTGTGACGTGTGTGGTGAGAGTAAGAATGTCGTGATCGGTGGGAGGGAACGCATTAGTCCACGTCCACGATGCTGCAGTGTAGTGAAAAAGGTGCAGCGAACGGGAGCAGAGAGTGGTTTCACTCGCATGACAGTATGGGTCGAAGCATATTAAGGGTTGCTCTAAGTGACAATGTCAAGGATGCAAAGGGAAGGGCATGGGAAGTGAGAAATGCATTAAACTAATATTTGTTTGCCAATCTCGAGGGTGTATACCTAATTGACAACGTGAGGCGAGGACGGTGGCGTGAGGTTGATGTAAGGTAAGGCCATTGTGATGGGTCGTGTATATTTTGTTAAGGCGTGAGAGTGAGTGCAGCCTCAGCCAATGCGTCAATGTCACGCGCCCAAATCCCCTTCATAGTGAGGTCAGCGATGTTGGCCCGATTTTGACATGATGTCCATTTATCCACACCAAACACCTTGGCCTGTGCCAAATCTACTACCAGCTCTTTTACAGTTACATCGCTGTCCGACTAAAAGCATCAGTACCCATCTCATCAGTGCATTTTGCCATTGTGAGGTTAGTGGGAGAGACAACAATAGGAGAGTGGGCACGAGAGTGCGAACGTGAAAGGAGAAGAGATGTAGCATGTCAGTCTGTCCTGTTAGAAAAGTTTGATCGTATTCGACCACCTCACACGCGTGTGCAGTGCTTTTCTGATCGGAATTTGAACAACAGCAATGGGTCAAGTTGAGGCGATGAAGCAACCTAACACCATTCAACATTTTACCATTGTGACCCTGCATTGTTGTTATGTCCTGGATACTTATGGAAGGCACGTTGAAGGGGGAAGTGGTGTTGATATGCAAACACCCCCTACTTGCCATCTTTGCTGCACAAAAATACCGTCAGTGCCTCGTCGATGCTCTTCATGTGTGACTGCATCTTATCCTGATACCGTATCTAGTGCCAATTCTTGCCAATTGTTCTGCTAACAACACCAAAGAAAATGTCATCCTGATTGCAGCAAATAATGCATTTTGGCGTCCAGGAAATCAAGGAGGAACCAATGTGGAAGACATGACTAATCCTTCAGACGAAGAGTGGCAGAAGGATGTGGAGGAGGGTAACACAATTATCATTCATCCAACCTCATTAGCGGATGCGAAGGATGCGGAGGATGTGTGGAAGGAAGGGAGTGGGAGTAGGGGTGAATGTGGGGATGATTGTGGAGGTGGGCATGGTGGAGTGGAGGAGGAGGGATGGGTGGGGAGGGGAGCGGCATAGAACTTGTTGAATATCATTTGAATGAAAGGCAATAAATTGAAGTGCAGTTGATGAGAGAAGAGGACTAGACTCGACTCGCCGCAACACAGCGAATGGAGAAGATGAGGCAGTTGGATTTCTTCTGGTTCTTCCCACTGCACGCCTAACAGAAAGACGGTGAGACCAAATCCACCCACCATTGTTGCCCTTGGCACTGCCACCACATCCAGTCGCATGTTGCGCATCTGCTTGCCAGAAAAGACACACAATGCCTCCTCCTCCTTCAGAATGGTGTGACTCATGAGGTAACCAAAGGGGAGGCTCACGCCTACCATTGCTCGAGATCTGGGTAGTGAAAAAGAATGCCTTCTCAGTGAGCAATGCTAAAAGCATCCAAACACCCCATCGATGACCAAAGTGATGCACACTAAGTGGAGCTAGTGGCTTGATTATAAATATTCTCCAACTGTTAGGTCCATGAGTTAGAATATGTGGTAGCCTCAAGTCCTCAAGGTCATGATGGCTCCCAACGAGGCGCGGCAATTACCAACCTTAGCAGCATAGATGTTGGTACTATGGTGGTGTTATCACACAGCAGCTGTGCCAGCTTGAGGACGTTGACACATCGTTCCTCGCTTACAAGAGCTCTAGAACAGTCACTAGTGTCTACTACGGTGGCCAGTTACTGCAGCAAGTAGTGCCATTGAATTGAGCCGCCTTCACCGCAGTCGTATCGTCCTCTGGAATCAAAATGTGCGGAGCCACACCTGTCACTACTCCAAGCAGCTAATGAGTGCATCCGAAAAGTGTTGAGAGTTGCAAGGACAGCGGTGTGAATAACACCACGCACCTGATAGCAAATTTGCTGTTCAGCGGGCACCGTGGTTGAAGGGCGTGGCATAGCGCTTGCTGTGCAGAGGTGAGTATGGCTTGGCCTGCCTGTAGGCGATCTTCCAGTGCGCAATTTACGGCGACCAGACGATTACTGATCCTCTTCCACTCAGCGGTCGCACAGGCTGCATCCATGTGAAGCACATCTCGCGCTACACCCACTATGAGATCCTAATAACCGTAACAACTGCATTACACTTCACCAAATGCTCGGCTATGCTCAATAGGTAGTGCAGTTCTTGCGTGTACTTACGTGCCACAATGTGGTGATGCCTTCATTCCGCATCGTCTGAATGGCGCAGATTGCAGAGTAGAGTGTGTTTATAATTTCGTGAAGGCGTTTCACTAAAGCACAGCCATCTTCAAGGTGCCCGTCTTCACCCTCTTCCATGGCACGCGTCAGCCACGAGCGCAGAAGGCTAAACCAACTAGGCACGTTTGACATCCTCTTTCGCTGCTCCAGTAGCACCTCTTCGCTTAACGCGTCTCCTAAGCCAGGAATACCATCACGTCATCACCTCGACTGGAAGGCACTCATTTTCTACACATCTAAAAGTCCAACTTGAAGCGGAAAAATAATGCCCGAAACATCTACAGTAGGTGTGGTAGCGTACGACACTTCAAGATAGTGATGACGTTCTATCCACTTACTGTGTACTGTGAGGGAGGAAAGGAGGTGCACCATGGCCTGTTTGGCTTGTGTCCACAAGGTTGCAAATCTCCTAGCCTCCGCGGGCCATACGATCTTTTCACGATTGGCGGGCGTGGCAGACACAACGACGCCGTCCTGACCGATTGTGAAACGCGTTCTCCTCTGTGTTTCGCCGATGGCAAACCTCTCACCCACCGCCACACCTTCGACCTCAGTGTTGGAGGTCGATCTGCCCAGCGGTCGTATGGCCTTTGCAGTTGGTGGCATCGTCTCAGTCCAACCATAGATAAAATGCGGAGGACGCAGATGCACTCGCTCAGATGCACAAAACACGCAGCTGTTTGCGTCTGGTAGGAAGGTGTGGCTGATGAAGGCTGCTCCATGGTGCACATTTGATGAGTATGCATTCCGTGTGTGAAAGGAGCAGCAATTTCTAGCAGCAAATGAGAAACACGCGGTCGAACTCATACCAAGTGCTCTGGCCGTGTAGAGGCAGGCATTGCCCATCTCCTTCGCACTCTTCGCCCTCATACATAGGTGCACCTGGTTGCCTTCTGGCAGCACCAAATCTGAGGTGTCGCTTGACTTGAAGCGGTAGTATCTGAACAGCGCCTCGTGATTTCGTGATTCCTAAAGTCGTCAAAAGTTGTGTTAAATGGGTGGTCAGTTAGAGTGATGGACAAGCTCAGTGCCCTTAATGCCAGACCGACTATGTCAGTATGAAAATTTGAGTGTGGCGAGGAGACTGTTGGTAAAATTAACGATCGCATGCAACGTCACCTTCCTGTCATCCAGTTGTGCTTGACCAGATGTGACTGGGGTGTTGTTGCTGTTGTTGCTACTGCTACTGCGCGTAACACCACCGACTCCGTCTGTGTAACCGCCCCTGTCTCTGCCTCCGGCCAACAGTGGCACCTCACACAATCGCAGTCCTGCCGCTGTGGTCTTTGTGGTAATGTGATCTTGTAGCGTGAAGCCCTCCAACCCAGATGCCCCTTTCGATGACCTCTGTTTTGTCACCTCAACACTCCACACCAACTTCTCATCAGTGCGCCCGTCATTTCCCTTCGCACCAGGATGGCGGTATAGGACTTGAGGCAGGTGCTCCACCTTCTTCATCTCCTCATGAAGTGGATCGTCTGGATTCGGTGCAATTTTCACCCGATATGCGTTGATCAGTCGGTGCAATTCTACAAGCTCCTACACCAAACAAATTTATCCAATGCGAATACGATGCCAAAATGTGATAGTGCACATAAGCTCCCACCTCTTCTAAGCACCATGTTGAGAGACGACGCAGGCTACACGCGGCAATGCTCCTCTAATGAATCACATCATTCGCTAATCACCAATGATCTTGCACTTTTGTGTGATGTGTCGGAGCCGAAGCATTAGGCACAGAAATCGGTAGTGGTTACGCGTTGATAAGCCGTTAGGAGACTAAACCTTCGTGGCATGGTGAAAGGGGTGTTAGTTCGTGCGCTGAGCCGACGACGTTCTCCTGACCCGTCTAGACACCTTTTATTAGGACAGTAGGCTCCAACATTTGCATTTATTATGAGACTACCAATTTCGTAGTGGCGACCCCTTGGAGCCACCTATGTCTCTCTCACAAAACGGCCTTACTTGCTCCACAAGTTGGAAGGATGCTCTCAAAATGTGCACTCAAGCAATGGAAGGCGCCTTCTCGTTACTATTGATGTGTTATAGCATGCCGTGGAGCACTTGGCAGACAACTCGAGGCACAGGCAGTACATTTCAAGACCTCCTACTACCTAAGCGAGTTGTAAGACAGCTCGCCTCTTCGCATCATGTCGGTGAGGAGACGACAATCGTGTCTCGATAGTTTGTAATCGGACAAGGAGCACTTGAGAGAGGGAAACGTGCGAGGAATGCAGGTGGTCTAGGAGACGTTCAGCTGTGTCGTGAAAGGGACGAAGACATTGCATGAGACTGGACTTTGGTGTCAGCCTACATCTCTTTCGGTAAAGGTGGCAAGCCGTAAGAGTAGTTGTTCCATAAGAGGGAGCACCTCAGATAACCTGCCTACGCCATGGCTGATGATGGTAGCCCGTTTGAGCTGTCAAGTCGAGCACTGATTGTGGCACCAACAACTGTCATCTAATCTTTCACTTGGCGCCCATTAATTATTAACCGGTACGTCTGCGAATACACAACTGTTGCTCTCCTTGTTGTCTTTCGAATGCACCTTGTGTCAAAAAAACAATCTGGCGCTACTTCAGGGTGGCTGTCTGGCAGTTTTAGTAAGCAGATCGCTGTACCAAACACATTCATCACATTTTACAAATCATCCACACCCTACCCAATCTTTCGATGCTTGAAATTCGAAATTCTTATGCTAAGACAGCAAAGACTCACATCAACATTCATTGTGACATTCCTTGCCTCTGCGACTACCGCATTTGAACATGAGAGTCTACAAATCCACTCATTCGCCATTCGTCGCAGCTTCCCCACAGACGGTTCGCAGCACTTCTTCTCATCTCCAATCAGTTTGAGAAGGTAGGCCTTAAATCGGACGTGCCACACCTTAATAAGACCGTTCAAAGTCCGTGTCTCATCAACCATGCCGGAGGTGGTAGTAGTGGATGCAATGCCCTTGTTTTCCACCACTAAACATAGAAGGCGCGACAGTCCCGCCAGCGTAGCACGTTGGACGTCCTCTGGCCTCTGCACTGTTGGTGTGGATTCCCTTGATTCGCTGTCAGTGGTGGCGAATGCGTCAGGAGCGAGAATTATAGAGTGGATGTAGCGGTAGAAGAGGTGAAGGCCAACAAACTAGATGAGAAGACCAAACTACATCTTCACGGAAAGTTAAGTGAGTGTACCAACTCATATAGCTTGGCATTAACGATTCGAGTTCGTCCTACTGGCGACATCAAGCGTCTCATTTTGTGCTTCCAATCATTCATGGCCCTCCCTACCGGTCCTCACTCTGACTAGTGGTCGGTGAACTCTTCTACTCTCCAAATCACCAACTCAAATGAGATTTTCACGCCAACTGTTTCCCACAGATTTACATCCTGACTCCTCATCAATGTCAATCCCATCTAACTAACTCTGTTGTTATACTCCTTTCTCAAGTTTAGCCTCGAAACCGCGATTCACCATCCCTCGCATCCACATACGCACGTACACAGCTAAAATTATGGTGGGGAATGAGCTACGATTTATAACTTAAACAGCTCATTCCCATCAGCACGTCTTTATGCTTAAAGTTACACATCTGCTACGGAGTTTAGTTGACAATGGTTGTGTGGCAGTTAGCTCACCACATGGTCTCTGATTGTGGGCATCAAGAGTGCACACTTAAGTATCGCCTGTCTATCAACCCACCTTGAGAAGGTCCTTTATTGGTTGCTGAGGGAAACGTTGGCGCAGAAGGCGAAACACTTCTTGAATGAATACGAGTAGCGGAGAGGGCAAGACTACACCTCCTTCCTCCTCAAAGAGGGCAAAGAAGAGACGTTCAGCGACGTGAACAAGCCAGGAGACATTGGTGCCCTTCGATGGCGTTCGACACAGCCCTCTGTCCACCTCGATAGTGCTTGTCACATCCCTCCACCTGCTTCGATTCCTCTCCTTCGACATCACCACCACCACCTTCCCCTCGCCTTCTGCGTTTGTTGGCTGTAATATTCGTGTGTTGCCAGCACGATGTGAAGTCTGATAGGACAAAGTACCAATGTAAGTCCACCTTCCTCTTCTGCATTACGTTCCTTCCTACCAACCCATGCACTCTCACCATAATGCCATTTCATGGCACATTGGTGGAAACGTCTGATGGCAAAACATCAGCATCCCTTCCACATCCCCTATCACCCACCAGTTACGCGTGATACCCTTATAGAAATTAAACCTTGGTAAGAAGAACAGCTCCTCTTCGTCTCGTGAAGACTCCCAACCAAATCCAGACGATCGCGACCTCGTCTGTGACGCACAAAGAGGAACACAAGCAAAAACAGAATAGCAAAACAAACCAACTTACATGGTGCAAAGAGGCGATCCCATCTCCTTGTGGCATTCTTGACGAGGGTCTCCTTTCTCCCTCCTCCCTTTGTGTATCAGCGGTGAGAATGTTCTGCAGCAATGGAATCAGTCGCTTCACAACTGTACCCCTCGTCGAGTGACTGACATGAGTCATTGCTACTGCCAGTCGCAGTGCAAAGTGACTCCTCATACTCTTCACCTCATTCCATGGTGTGGTGTGCAGTTGAATGTGAAGGGCTCGAGATATGAGGAATGTGAAGCGCACCTCACCTCCGCCTCGCTTTCCGTAGTCGTACAAGCTTAAAATAATGCGCTCCAGTCGGAGAGCAAAATCAGTGGGTTTGCAGGTCTCCAGGACTCCCTCCACTTTTTCGACCCACAACACGTGAGCTGGCAATTCAACCAACAATCGAGCCAAGTAATCCGGTTGAGCATAGAGGAGGAAAAGCAGTCCACCATACTTCTCACTGATCACTTCAGTGGGAGACGTTTGAGATGGTTGCAGATGATGCGAGAGATTTCGGCTGTCACCACACAGTGTAACTGTGGAGAAACAGAGCATTGCACGTCTTGCTTTTGATGTCATTGCCGCTTGACGCATTTGGACCACAAGCTGGAGCAACTTTGATGCACTTTCAATATCATCTTGCAGCCTCATCAATTGCTCTGCCTTATCCTCCACTCCTTGAGCAGCCTGAAAGCAGTTGAGCTGGAAGTTGTAGATGTCATCGGTAAGAGTGGGCATGAGACAGCTACTGAGGAGTCTTGCCAGAGTAACTAGAGGCCTCTCGCACGCGCTTGGTGACATCGGGTTGAGGGCAAGGACGAGGGCGGTAGTGAGCGTTTGTCTCAGTGCAAAGCCACGCCACAGCGCTTGAAATCGCCGGATGCACTTCAAAACGTGTCTAACTCCGTTTACTGTTTGTTCAACAAAACGGCGTCTTCGTTGACGGCGAATGAAGTGGAGGATTTGTATTGCTGCACTTTGCAGATTTGGTGAACGCAAAACCTGCAGGTACGCCTTGTATCGTCGTCGTATGCAAAAGCCTCGCCACATGGCTTGGTAAAGGCAAATACCTCTGAGTAGACGCTTTTTCTCGCCGATTATTCTCATCTTCTCACACAGTGCCAACATCCACTCACGGTAATGCTGCCTTATAATCCAAGCACGAATCAGTCGGTCAAGCAGGTCGAAAGCTTCAGCAGAGATGCGCTTTCTCAATCCGCTTTGCGGTGGCTGAACGCCTAAGTTGACACGGTTGATGCATGCCTCAATTTCTTCACGAGTTAGTAGATCTGGTTCGAGGTAGGTGGGTTCAGGAGTAGTGTACGAAGGCTTCCATATCAACCTCTGGGACTTTATGTTAAAATAAAAGTAAATCGCCTTTTCATTCTCCTCCACCCGTTCCTCCTGCCACTGCTCCTTCTCTGCGTGCCCCTCCTCCCTCATACTAGAAACACTGGTAACCAGCCATCCATGGCACTCCCTTGGGCTGCATTCACCTCTCGACACATTCATTTCTTGTTTTGAAGTTTTGATCTGTGAATGCGTAAAGCAGTCGGCAAGCTCAAATCCTTACAGCAGCATAACATTATCTAAATTATGAGTTGGAGTGCTCACTTGAAATAGTGCTTCCACATATTCCTCAATGCATTTGCGTTTCACGTGCAACCTCAAAGCGGTGCAACATGGAGACGAGCCTCGCTTGCTGTCCAACTTGAGTATGTAGTTTTTGAGACCCTGCCAACCATTTGGATGCTGAAGAAAGTTGTTAATATCTCTCAAAACCTTGCCCAAGGCCAGAGCTCTGGCGTGAATATTGTGGGCCAGTTGGAGTGCTTCTTTCACACTGCTGGCAGTTCTTTTGGTCAGAGTGCTGAGGACACATCGGTAGAGATCTATGTGATCAGAAGAGAGTTGTGAGCTGACATCTGACAGATAGCCGGTGGTTCTAAGGGCTTGAAGCCATCCCCATAGTACAAATTCGTCGCCTGGTGTCAGACTGCAGTGCACTCTGGAGAGGTAGTACTCGCACGTCTTCACGGTCGAATCAGAGCAGGCTATAGGTGCGATGATCACTTCCTCGGGTGCACACGTGGAAGCCTCAAAGTCGTTCATATTGAGGGCACTTGAGGACTCTCTTTGGCACAGCTCTGCTTTAGCCACCTCATTGATGATGCGCTGGATTTCACAGTGTGACAGGATGCTTGGCATTCCTGTAAACAGATGTTTGTCAGAACTGTTCAGTTCGCCCAGTTTACTGATCACTAATAAAATGCTTACGGTGCGTCATCAGGAGGAGGATTGCTAAAGGCAATGAAAAGTAATTCAAGTCGGCAAATCTCGCAACAAGGAAAGTGCTCTAAATGCCTGAACATTTATGTAAGCCAGGCTCTGTCCCATTCCCAATTGATCGGTCGATCCCGCACACGTGTGCATTTCCTTGTGACATTATGAGAAACAAGTCAGTCGATTATTTTAGCCATGCAATGGTGATACTGCTCGATGTCCACTTACTAATCTGTAGCGAAAGAGGTGGACAAATTGTGAAGTATAAAAGGCCGCTTATCTCGATTGACTGGCTTGATCAACTGCCTCAGCTGGGGAAAGGGAGGCAGATCGCCCACTGCCCACCACCCACAACGCTTTGCCAATTGTGTGGAATTTGGAAGCGTTTAGTTAAATAATGCGAAAATATCTAACCGAAAGGAATGGGCACACAGATTGACACGTAAATCAATAATCAAAAGCTTTGGATAAGCGAATAAAAGGACAAACAAATGGTGTGGCAAACAGACTATGCATTTTAAAAGTACTTTGAACAACTCACCCGTTTCTGTGGACTTTTCATCTTGCGCATCGCAAAGCCTGCATAAGTAGGTGGCCCCGAGGTCACCGTTGGACTGCACAACATTCTCCCAAAGAGCATCCTTTGCCAAGAGGATCGGCATTATTTTACTCGCATTCCGCACGCTCACCGCCTCATTCAAACCAATCACACGATGTAGGACTCGCATGATGGTCAGCACCTCCTCATATGACAGATGTTTGCCCTTCTCCTTCAGCGCAGCCTTCAGTTCCTCATGAATGAGCTCAGCCCTTGTCTGAAGTACCATTGAAGACGCTATCTCTTTCACCGACACAGTCCCCACAAGGTCCCTTGCTATGCCATTTAAATTGTCGTTATGCTCGATGAGTGCAGAAATGGTAGCCAATGGATCGTCTTTCCATACCGCCATGTTTATGGCCTGCAGAGACTGATCCAACAATTCCTCTCGCCTTGCATATGCATTGGCCAACTTCACTGACACCTTGAGGCTTCTCACTAAGGTCTCCTCATCGCCACCGCTGTCATCGAGGCACCGAATCATCTTGTCCAAATTGTTCTCCAACACAACAAAGTACCACTCCTTGTGGGAGGGCTTGAGTAAGTCTCCCATGTGCAATTTTGGGTGTTGGAGGGTGTGGAAACAAGCATGAACATCTTGGTGCAGTAGAGAGTCTCGCAGAGACGTGAAGAGACCGCTGTACATATTGCAGAAGTACCCATGTGCAAAGAAGGGGATGCCCTCGATGCATGATGCATGTGACTTTGCAGAAAACGTGTTATTGATGAATGGAGGCATGACTCCTCGCCTTTCCTTCTGTCACGTCACATAAACTGAATGCAGACTCCTGTACACTTCATTTGATGATAATGACAGGACATCAGGTTTTGGTCACTGGTGACACGATGTTCAGAAGGATCTAGGCGTTTGCAAGTAAGACTTTGCGAGGTAAAAGTAAGACGTCATAATTCAATGTGAAATGATTGTGAGCATCACCACACAGGCTCGCAGCCTGGAAACTGCTGCTGCCAGGGCAGCAGACGAAATTCGCGTCAGAAAACAGAGTTGACTTTTGTGCACTAATAACGGAGACAGTACTTGTCTATCTGTGTGCGTGTGTATTGATGCAATTTTGATGAAAGCATTGGTAGATGGATGTGCATGAAGACATGATGAAAGAGAGGAGGCATGGAGTGTGAGAGTCTGTTCATTTATTTTGCGTACACTTGTGTAGGTGCAATAGTCGCGTGGGCTGTGGAGAAGGGAAAGGAATGCTGTTTGCAAAATAGTGCGTGGAGATGGTGCAACGCTCGAGACAATGGGTGACTCGTCGATGGGAGTGGTTGCAAGCATTTCTAGTGGCAAAGATAGGCACCACGGTAAGGGCTTAAGACATTGTCGAAGGTAGTCAGTTGGTTGGCTTTCACCACCAGAAGGACGGCGAGGTTATGACTGCAAGTAGTAGTGGATGATACGTAACTGTTGGTAGTGGTGTTGATTGTGGCGGTGGTGTAGGTGGAGGAATTTATAAGGACTGAAAGCGTTGGACGTTCACAGCGAGTTGCCATTAATGCTGATCGTCACGAGACCACAGGAATAGTGGCATGTGAAGGACATAAACTGGGTCAGAGTTGAAGGCAATGTGCCGTGAAATTTGTCTGTAACTGCAGATTTCTGACATCTACATGAGTAAGACAAAGGCCGAAGTTCAACAAGAGATCGCTGAAGAAGTGTGTCCATTTGAGATTGCTGTCAGATGGACTAAGAATGTCAAAAATATAACTGTCTATTTCCACTTCACTTTCCTTCACACTGGAAACTGGCATATGTGCGAGGTTTCCAAACGTTTGTAATTCCTTTGACCCAAATTCGGGAAAGGGCAAAGTATTAGGCCGAGCCGAGCTGCCTCGTTGATGCAACATCCTTTTGACGGTGCAGTTTGATCGGAGCTGCAGGTGAGATGCATTGGTTGGATGAGAGGATTGCGCCTCCAAAGTGGACATTGAAGCAATAGAGGGTATTACCAACCGCAAATTACGAGACGAGGTGCATTCACTCTGGTCACTTTGTACAAGTGGCACCTGGGTGGTAAAATTGAGGCAATGGCATCGAAAGCCAAATGTATTGAGCGAGTGCCGTCAACTCTGAAGCGACACTTGAGGGTTGGCCCAGTGGAGAAGTGGTTGGGGTTGAGGAGGTCGATGGGGGCGTGGGGACGGGGTTGTGATGAAATGATCTACTTCTTTGAGGTGTGCAAAGGGAAGAATTACTTGCTCCACCGTCGAATCTGACTACGGAGGGAGATGTCATAGTTAGTGACACGTATGAGCGTAGATGACCACTACTTCATGTATTTTGGTGACGTCGCATTGTGAGCAGGCATAGGGTGTTTGAACATTGGAATGCATCAACAGCAAACTACGCTGCTGCAAGCACAATTTCTTTTAATTGCATTGAGATAGACTCGAGACTCATGTGTTAGTACCGTTGCAAACGGACAAGAAGGAGAGTTGTTTGCCTGACTTGCATCTTCGACAAATGCCCCTTGGAGGGTGGTATTGACTGTGCCGTGTTGGATGGGTTCTGCTGAGGGGTGGTAGCTATGCTCGAGGTGGCCTTAGTATATGGCGTTTCGCACTTGAAATTTAAAGTCAAGAGACAAGGCTAATGGGTGCGCGCGTAATGTGGGCAGCGGATACTCCTGCTAGATGTTGTGGCGTTGGTGCACCACTTCATTTAAGCCAACCTCCGCAGAGGAGCTGTCCTGATATGGCCGGACTTGACAAGGCATGATGCTCCACGCCGCCGATTTCACGTGCGGCAAGAATTCTCTGTAGGAGGATGCAATTACAAAACAACATTCAAATGTCTACATCATAGCCTTATTTTATTTGTATCGAGTGTTTGGCAGGAAATGATGGCTACAACATGCAACTGTGTGGCGGTTGGGCGGCCTTAAAATCGACGATCACACGACTCTACCCCCCAATACTTGCAAACCTTCTAATGTGTCCTCATTCCCCCCTCCCCCCACCACCACCACCACGTCCAACCCTCCCCCACTCACCCATCAACTGCCTACACATCGACGGCTCAATTTGCCCATATGCCTACACTTGCCACCCTTCAATCACTCCACCTTTACTCTTGCCAATCGCACACACGCACGTAAATTTGAAATCGCCTGTTTCGATCGCTCGCTATGGTTAGGATGGAAGTGTTGTCAAAACACGTTGCGATGTGTTTGGCACTTCTAGATGTGCATTTGTTAGGTGCCTTGCATGACCACGGTGGCTATGTCCTCTTGTTGGCATTCACGGTGCTCCTATCAACGACGAAATGACACGAATACTAAAGAGGTATAAGTTTGTGAGGGATTCGTATCGTCCTCCTGCATTGTCCATTCGTTCTCCGAAGAATGAAGTAGTCCTTCCAGACAGCAGTGCTCAATGGCCGTGCAAATGTCCTGTCCACCAGCACCTCCGTTCTTTAGGACTTCTCAGGGGCTGCGGGTGCTACACCGATGCCGCCACTCCTGCTACCAGTGGTCACAATGGAGGCCGATTAGACCAGTCCCGGAGTACCACTACACTCTGGAGTCGAGTAGGTTGTATCGCGTACTGAGGCCAGCCATCACCGCACCGACTCAAGTGAGTCCCATTCTCTTCTTTATTCACCTCCTTAACCTACAATGTAGGACTGTGTGGGTTTGCAGCACACTACCTTTACAAGAGGCAACAAATTCAGTTTCACTGATCTTCATGCCACTTAGTGCTATGCCAGCCTCTCAGACTTGCGGATTTGACAAGCGATAGAAGTAGGAGCATACATCTTCCATCGTAATCATTGCTCTTCTCGCTGCTGTGTTGGATTGTTTGATTTGCGAGCATGGTGCACGTGGGTACGGCTTATACCTCCTCTTCTTGCTATTCAGGAGGTGGCGGGAGCGGATGACCCGACGTCCCGTGGGTTGATTGTGCTTCTTCTCCTCCTCTTTAGCTCTTTCTTCTACCACTTCAACCATTTTAGAGCCAAAAAGTGGGCCCTCGACTAGAAGTAATACTGCTATAGCACTGAGGAGGTTTTTATGCTACACTAGTTACCAAAACTTTACTTACCTATGCCTATACATTAACCACCTTCCCTTCACTTACTTGTACATACTCCAATTAATTCCCTCCGTTTTCTTCCCGTCCCATGGTATCCTGATTCACACTTCCGAAATATAGCGTTCCTTCTTGCTTCAATGCCTGCTTTCCACCTTCCATGTAGGTCGGATATGATAGAAGGTAGCAACATCAGCGTTGGTAGTGGGAGCAGGCGAACAAATGGGTTAGCGGGTGGGTGTCGCTACTTGCGACGATGACTTTCTGTTGTACTTGAATACGCACCCACGCACCCATGAATGGTACCACCTCCACTGTGGTTGCTCCGATAGGCGTGCACCGCCCACATCCCCTTCATGGGCAGAAAGCAACGTCAGGCTCTTACCCCATCACTTAAACAATCATCAAAATAAGAACAACAAGAACAAGAACAACAATAATAACAACATAAGGTTGATCAGAAGTAATGGAGAAAATTATGCTGCTTCGCCCAACTACTGACAACATCCACTTACGAAGCAAAGGTGTGCACGTCGTTCACCCGTCGCATTACAGCAAGAAACAAAGAGCTCGCATTAGATTCTGCCCTTTCGTCGTGTCTTCACTCGATGTTTCCTTATTATATTAGTTCACGTGTACATCACCTAGACTTAGACGGTGCCCATCAAGCTTCTTATGATTGCCGGACATGCTTTCACTGCGTGAAAGTTAATGAATGCTAAGTCTCATGCATGCACCTTTGTTTCAAGTTAATCAACCTAATAATGGAATTCACGTAACGACGAAAGCTTTATTCATTCTGATAGGCCCACCAGCTGGACGACTGCGATTGGATACGCAACAAGGTGCAGGTTGGGTAGAGGGAGTAGATTAACAAAACAACCAAAGTAATAAATAAGACATTAAATAATGAATAAGTTGGAGCAATGCATAATACTTCTAGTAATACGAGAGGCGACGCAGCACTACTACTGCTGCTGGTATCACACCCAGCACCAGTGATAGCAGCAAGGGATGAAACTTTGTTCGTTCGTTCGTTGTTCGTTATTGTCTGGTCATAACTCCTATTACTTACACCTTCATGATACATTCTCCATGCAGTTGTTGCTCCCATGACAATAACAATCCAGCAGTCCACGATAACTGAACGCGAGAAATGCGTCAAGACAGCTGTAGTAATGCATTCGTAGACGAGTATGCCACACCATATGCAAGCACCGTGCAGCTGTGGTACAGTAAAGCAAGAATTAACCCCCATTTCCCTTTATCCGTAATGTCCTTTACTTCTCGTCTTTGCGTCTTCTTGCTAACAACTCTCTTTTTAGGTATTTACTATGCCATTATTGCTGGTTGTTTAACGTGTCCTTACTAAACGCCTCTTTTTTGCTAGCTATCACGACCAGTGTTCCACTTGTCATCCATTCATACAATTGATCCTCTGTCTCTATGTCTGCCCACCCTATCCCACTCATTTTGCCTCGTTCCATTCTACTCCATATCAGTTCGTTTCAGCTCACCTCTTGACCACTAAGACCTGGCCATTGCGTTACCTACCCACCTACCTTGCCACTCACACCTTAATTTGTCGCTGCCTGCGTT